GGGGGTGACTGCTAACAGAGAGACAGGACAGGGCCCCTAGACTTTGTAGAAAGGGTTGACGTCCACCCAGCCGATGTGGCTCAGTGGTTGGTCATCAATCAATGAACCAGGAGGTCACGGTTCCATTCCCGGTCAGGGCACATGGCACATGCCTAGGTTGCAGGCTCAATCCCCAGTAGGGGGCGTGCAGGAGGCAGCTGATCAATGATTCCCTCTCATCATTGATGTTTCTATCTCTCCCTCTCCCTTCCTCTCTGAAATCAATAAAAATATTTTTTTTAAAAAGAAGAAAAGAGCCCAGTTTGGCTCAGTGGATAGAGCATCGGCCTGTGGACCGCAGGGTCCCAGGTTCAATTCCGGTCGGGGGCACGTGCCTGGGTTGCGGGCACATCTCCAGTGGGGAGTGTGCAGGAGGCAGCTGATCGATGTTTCTCTCTCGTCGATGTTTCTGACTCTCTATCCCTCTCCCCCTCCTTCTCCCTTCCTCTCTGAAATCAATAAAAAATATTTTTAAACAAAGAAGAAAAGACTTAACTTTACCAGACAGGAGTGAGCTCAGTGCCGCACGCCACCTGCCCTGCCACTTCCTGGCTGGGGGGCCTCGGGCAAGTTCCTTAACCTCTCTGTGCCGCATGTCCTCATGGATCCTGCTAGGATCGTGTCAGGGCTGCTGTGAGGCTGGGAAATGGGGCTCAGACCGCAGTCTCCCACGGGCAAGGGCCGGAGGAACGCACGCGGGAACCCTCCCCGCTTGGCTCGGGGTGACACTGGGTGTTCTGTTTTGTGTAGCGTGTTTGTGTTTCCCGTATTTTATGCATGAAACGCATTATTATAGAATTAAAATAATACTCAGAGGGGGAAACGGAGCAGTAGAGACTGCAATTTGCCCCCAGAGGGAAGCAGTGGGCGACGAGGAGCCAGTCCGTGCAGAGAGGGCTGGAGGGGGAGGCTGAGCTGGTGGGTCTGAGGCTCAGACAGGGGAACCCTGGCTGCCCCAGGGGCCCAGGGGATGGCAGCTCCGAGCCCTTGGGGACGGTGTCGGTGACAGTTTCTCCTGGGCTTGTGGACCATTCCCTGGCGGCCAAGTGTCCAGGCACCTCGTCCAGAGGCCCCGGCAGGGACGATGGCCCGAAGAACGCTGTCTGCTCGGGGACAGGGGCCGCTCTCTGGCTGTTCTCAGCTCTGAGCCCCAGAGCGTCAGCTCAGAGATGGCCTGGGGCCCCCAGGTGAGGCTGCCGGCCGGCCAGCGTCCCGCCAGCTCAGCCACACGGTCAGCCGGCCTTTGCTGAGGCGGCCCTTTGAGGAAGCGGGGCCTGCCAGGCCCACAACACTCTCCCTGCTGGGTGGCCGATAATCCCCAAAAGAAAGTCAAACATTAGCCCGGGAAACAGCTTATGCCTTATATAAGCCCCCCTGGGCGGCACAAACACAGCTTGTGGGAGCCGAGCTGCCCAACCGGAGCGGCCGCGGGACCGGGACAGAGCGAGGGCCTCAGCCCAGCGACCACCA